ATTACAATGAAAACCCCAAAAATTAAAACTACAGTAACTTCCATTGGGGTCTTTGACAACACAGAAAAACAATTGTACATTTATCACGTTGACAGAAGTTCATTCGATGGTTGGCGTCATTTTGATGATGGCAGGGTTGTAAACTGTCAAGAAAGGTTGGCGTGATGACTGTCGTGATCATCAGTATGTGGACATCCGCATCGCTTTGATGATGGCTGTGCAGCATACTGTATTGTAATGTTTTGATCATCTACATCTCAGTCCGGCAACCTTCGTGCTAAATTTACATATTTGTGATATTTGTATTGTATATTGAATCCTGTACAATTTGATATATTTCCTCTTGACTCGCTGTATCTGGAGATCTCTGTTCAGCTTTTTCTTTGTTGATAAATGAATGGTATGAGTGTCCTAGACCTGATACATCTGGAGCCCACTGTGCTTTATCTTGCGCATCTGGAGATTGCTGACTTCGATTGAGTTCTTTGACAGGTCGTGCGGAATGGTCTTGTTGATCGTAGCCATTATGTTTGTTTTCTGCTACGGAATCAATAGATCGATATGATCTAGGTAACTCCAAGCTGTCAACATCACCATATTTACACTTTCTGAAACAGGCCACAAGAACAACCATCGCGATAAAAATCACATTAGCTGGTAACAAAATCCAAAGTAGCAGTTGCCATCTGAATGGCCGATCATGTGAGGCGAGAGCAGTAGGGAGAACTGCTACACTAATGCTTGTATTACCAGTAGCATACAAATGGTATTTATTAGAAACGTTACAGATCATGAGCTGCTGGTCATCTTCTGCACGAATCTCATCGATACAATGTTGATTTGTTCCCGGCAGTATCACATTTTCATGATCACTTTTTGACCATGAGTAATCAACGTCCAGATAAGTGCCTGTAGTGATGATACAGACGAAGCATGCTTTGTCACCAGGATAAAGAGGTGTGTTAAGTGGAAGAACCTGGACCGATGTTGTTGGAATAACGTGGATGGTATTTGTACTACACCTCTGTGCCACTTGTTCCTTCCCAATGGCAAGGAATTTTGTTTCGCATATGAAATTGGCACCATCATCATCACTAGTGATTGTATGGACGTGATTCAATGCCAAGTTTGTCGCTTCTGATTGGTTCATTGTTTTAATAACACTTTGTGTATGGTCGTACGCATTGCACAAGAACAGACTTAGTTTGGTAGATGATGGAACGTCAGCTTTTGACGCACAAGACATGGTCACCACATCACCAGCAACCGCAAACATCGGTATTTGGCTGCAGGTTGGGTTTGGTAGCCAAAGGGGAACAATTTTCAGTTTTATAGTACTGAGGAAGTTCGTCTGTGCTATATAGCAACGATACACTCCAGCATCAGCTTGATCTGCATCAAAAATTGACAACGAACTGATGGTGCGATGCAATGTTCCCTCTGCATTGCATGTTTCTGTTGACATATTCACACTGAAACGGCATTGACGTGTACCCAAAAGCACATTGTTCAGTTCATTAAATATATTAACAAGCCACCAATTACGTGTACTCCACAGCACAAACTGATCTCCAGTTGTGCAACCGGTAGTGCAACTGAGTGTAGCATTCTGTCCCTCATAAATCGTGACATCTGGTGTTCCCACGATCTCAAAACAGGTTGCACCATGTAGTGCCAAGAAGAACAAGAAAAATAATCTAATATCTGCCATCTTGCACTTAGCTTGTTGCATGTACTCTTGGTGTAATCGATAATTATTTTCCAAGAATCAAATGCAGAGATGACTAGGGAAATAGAAAGTGGTTCATTACATAAAAAACTAAGATAATGTATATTCTTGCAAAGTATTTTTCCTTTTATACTCAGCTCGAGTGACATTATCCATAAATCAACATTCCAAGTTTTGGAAGAGCTTTTGTTTCATCTTTAATGAGAAGTTATACTTTCATACCTGTTGTGTACAAACTGTACATCGGCGCGTATTTCCATGATATAATTATGACAACCATTGTGTTGTTTAGTTTGGTTAAGATCAAACCAAATTATCTTCCTAATTTAGAACACAAAACAAAAGATGAGCGTGTTGTAAGTTGTGTTTTCATAAGCATGTTATTGTTAAAGGGTTTCCATCTGACATAAACTTACATAAGCTACAAACAAATACCCTCGCCTTTTGCATTTATTTCAAATGTATACACATCACACAAACGTTTTTTATGGCTGTATCATATATTTTTCTCCAGTAACACTACCTGATTCATTGAAAAATACCAACATTATTGTTTATCTTTCTGATTGTACAGAAAGTAAAAACTATTTTAATAAAAGTACTTTTTTACCTAAATTTTCAAAATGTATACAAATATTATAATACTACAATATAATATGTATACTGTAATTCATTTGTAAGAAATCGGGTGATTGCAATAATCTAAAAATATATCTGCATTAAAGGTGGAAAAAGGGGAGGTTATACGCCCCTTTTTCACCAGTTTTCAATATTCAAAAATCTATATCTCATTAACCGTTTCCAAGTGTTTCGTCAAACATCGTTTTTGTGCCTTACAAAAATACGTACAACATATCTAAAACATTTTTTTCTTCCCGAGCCTGGTTTTCAGATATGAAAAAAGGAGCTCTGTGGAGTTAAGGTCAATATTTAACCTATTGATGTAACCCCCTGTGGGATTTAAGGTCAATATTCAACCAACTGATGTAACACTCTGCAGGTGTAAGAGTAACTTTATTGCTTCTCTTTTATAACAGAGGCACAGCCGTAAAGACGTGCAACAATAACAAAATCAGTAAAAACTTAATTACTGTGATTAAATATAATAAGAAAATACTGCGGTAGAACGAAATATAAATAAAAAAAGGGTTTACAAAAATAGTAATAGAGATAAAAATAAATACTAATACTAATAATATAAGTAAGTTGTTTAATACATCACTTATACACACATACATATACACATACACACAAACATATATATACACATATACATATATACATACAGTATACATATACATACACATATACACACACATACATATACATATATATATATATATACATACATACATACACACACACATACATATATACACATATATACACATATACATATATATATATATATATATATATGTATACACACACACACATACACACATGCTTACATATACATACATACATACATACATACACACACAATACATACATACGTGCATAGACGCACACACATACACACACCCCTCCCACACACATATTCACACATACATACATACATATACACATACATACACAAACACATACATATACATATATACATATAACAGAGTAAATATTGTAATTAATCAGACAAGTCTTGCAATAGAAAAGTATTATATATATCATTTCGTTCTTTCCATGCCATCGTTAAAAGTAATTTACAATGATTATCGAAAACTTTACTCGCAATAGTATAATTAATAGGGTTTATACAATTTGTTGTTAAAATTTGATATTCGTAATGGATTTCTAAATCATCAAACAAAAGATGGTATTTAAGTTCAGGGGAGCTTGATATGAATAATTCCCAAAATATATGTAAATCCTTTTTGTATAACTCCTCTTTAAGTTGGTCAAATATTAAAGTTCTAATGTTCTTTAATCTGGTACAATCAAATACAAAATGATTGATGGTTTCCTTTGTCACGCAGTTACATAATAAGCATAAGCCTAAATTTTGAGGTGACCAGGATTCCTTTCTTCCTTCAAGAGGTAGTGAGTTAGAACGAGCTTTAAATTTTAAACTTGAAGCATGAAAGTTACACTTTTTTAATAAATACTTTTCCATTTTAGGTGTTGAGGTCAATATTCAACCAATTGATGCAACCCTCTGTGGGAGTTGAGGTCAAAATTCAACCAATTGATGTAACCCTCTGCGGGAGCTGAGGTCAATATTCAACCAATTGATGTAACCCTCTGCAGGTGTTGAGGTCAATATTTAACCAATTGATGTAACACTCTGTGGGAGTTGAGGTCAATATTCAACCAATTGATGTAACACTCTGTGGAAGTTGAGGTCAATATTCAACAAACTAACGTAACCCTCTGTGGGAGTTGAGGTCAATATCCAACCAATTGATGTAACCTTTTCTTATTATTCAGAGATTGCAGTAAATCCTTGATTATGTCACCTTCTGATACTAAAGGCCTGTCCACACAATAACATTTTATGTGACAAATTTGTGTGATGTCCCCATATATGGATATGATATGCCCAAATATGGGCATATCACATTTACTTTATAGTGTGGACACAGCTTTAGGTCCATTTTTGCGTCTACTGCCCCAATGGGGGCGCAGACACTATGTCATATGAGGCATGTTGTGGCAAAATGGCCAAGTTGTAGTAAAAATTGAAATTCAAGTTATTGGTATTTTCAGATACCTGAGTATGTGATCTTTAAAATGAGAAGTTATTGGAAAGTGAAAGTACAGTACTTTTAGACTAAAGATAAACATCATTTTGAGTAATTGCCTTTCAAAGTTATTTGTGCATACATTGTTTAATAGAATGAACTATAAAAAATAACGTTAAATAAACAATTTGTTAACCACCCAATACACTGGGACATGATTAATAAGACATTAAACTGTTGATCTATAAAGAAAAACAAATTTGGATTTTTAGGCAATTTTTTGAGCTCCCATATTTTATAGCTCATTTACTCAAAACTGGACTGTGCGACAACTTAACCATTTCACCACAACATGCCTCATATATGGATATGATATGCCCAAATACATAGTGTGGACACAGTCTTAGGTCCATTTTTTGTTTCTGAATATACTTTAAAGTTCACTGCCACATCCTCAACTACATAATTCTATACTGGAAATGTCATAGGTTCCATTGCATTAGATGCATAGAAGTCAACTGTAAATCCATATTGATTTTATCTTTTTGCATCACTTCTGAACTAAATAATTGTTATTTTATAAAACTTTTCCTAAATTTTCTTATCCTTTTGCGATTCCAATCTTCCTTCTCTCTTTAATGAGTTATAATAAAATTTAAGCCAGACCCATGAAACGCCCCCTGCACAGTACACTGAGGTCAGCATCAAGGGTAGAAAAGCTAGTTTGTCTCCTAGACCAAGTGCATAATGCCCTAGATTGCAATAAATGTACAAAGGAATCAGGCCTAGCATATACAGTGATTCCAAAGGTGTTAGTAATGGAATGTGTGGTAACCATGATGATTTTGGAACTCTGTAAAAATAATAACAAAAGTGAAAGTTGTCAATCAAAACACAATGAAAATAGAGATAATAATAAAAATATCTTAAACTAACAGAAAGCTCAAAACAAAACCAGGAAACAATTTCATTTTTTTCCCCATGAAAGTGCAACAGGAAAATGTTGTGAAGTTACAATAACAAAACTTTTGTTGATAATAGTCCTAAATTATAATGAGAATAACGATACTTGTTCACAAAAACATTATTAATGATATTATTTATTATAAGAATAATGATAATAATGATAATTATAATTCAGTTGTTTTAGCTGTTTAAAAAATTCATTCAGTAATCATTAACATTATATATTTCCAAGTATTATTATTTTTAATGTTAATATACAAAAACGAACTATAGTTATTTATGATTGAAATCATAGATAGAAAAAGTAAAACAAATTTCCAAATATTGAAAATCCTACTCACTTGTAAATGTTGGATAAAGTTATCAGAGATATGAGTGTTGATAATAAAAGCAGACACAATTTTATTGGAGCTTCTGTAAAAAAAAAAAAAATAATTATTACTTTACCATGTGATTATATTGCATATGGGCATGCCCTCCCAAAACCAGCATTAAAAATAGACTTATCAATTTATTCGTATTCTACACATTACAAGCTTTAATATGATGGACAATTTACAGCAATCGACTAAACATTACAAAGCTATGAGTATTACAGCTTATCTGTAATAAGTACAAGATGTGTATAAGAGACAGGGTGTTGAGGTCAATATCCAACCAATTGATGTAACCCTCAGTGGAAGTTGAGGTCAATATCCAACCAATTGATGTAACCTTTTCTTATTATTCAGAGATTGCAGTAAATCCTTGATTATGTGACCTTCTGATACTAAAGTCCTGTCCAGACTATAACATTCTATGTGACAAATTTGTGTGATGTCCCCATATATGGATATGATATGCCCAAATATGGGCATATCACATTTACTTGATAGTGTGGACACAGCTTTAGGTCCATTTTTGTGTCTACTGCCCCCAATGGGGGCGCAGACACTATGTCATGATGTAGCAATTAAAGATCCTCAACTACATAATTCTATACTGGAAATTTCATAGGTTCAATTGCATTAGATGCATAGAAGTCAACTCAGTAAATCCATATTGATTTAATCTTTTTGAATCATTTCTGAACTAAATAAATTTTTATTTTATAAAACTTTTCCTAAATTTTCTTATCCTTTTGCGATTCCAATCTTCCTTCTCTCTTTAATGAGTTATAATAAAATTTAAGCCAGGCCCATGAAACGCCCCCTGCACAGTACACTGAGGTCAGCATCAAGGGTAGAAAAGCTAGTTTGTCTCCTAGACCAAGTGCATAATGCCCTAGATTGCAATAAATGTACAAAGGAATCAGGCCTAGCATATACAGTGATTCCAAAGGTGTTAGTAATGGAATGTGTCTGTCTCTTATACACATCTAGATGTGTATAAGAGACAGAATAAGGACAAGGCAGATATACGTATATCCATGAACACACGTACGTTTAAATCTTTCGAATCCTAGCAACAGTATCCAAGGGAAAGGCCAATTTTAACCATTATACTGAAAGGCAACAAAATAGTCATTGTTACTGCAGGTATAAATGTGGCATTCTCCATCGTATTTGAAATACTTGCATCCTAGCGCCCTCATGCACTTCACAGCGCATCTAATGCAACTTCTTTTCGAGTTTTTGGTCGTTACAGAACATTGTGGATTGCGACGAAAAGACTTGTAATAAGTGGAGCGTCCACCCAACTCTGAGCACACTGGACCTACACAAAACAAATTTATAGTACTATAGTAAATACTATTACTTTACAATACTGCAAGACTATCTTCTTCATATAGACCGTTGGTTGAGGCTCCAAAATCGGCTTAGTTTACGAATTCTGTGACCCACCGATCCGCGCTACTTGGCATTCGCACAAAAATGTCAATACTATTTTATTGAAACATAATATAATTGTCGGCAATCGTAAATTTGAAGAAACTGTGACCAAAAATGAGAATTTATCTTCGAAAAATTAATGTCGTTCACGAAAGCAGTACCCAATCACAGCACACTTACCATACCTGTTAAGCATTGATGAGACGCTATTAGC